GGTAATTCCTAACCATAGGTATAACCAAAATCACATGTAATGATTTTTGGAATAGTATTTGCAGGGACAAATCAAGAATTGGATAAGCACTTGGAGATTACACTATATTGTTACGTTAAAACGTCTCTGTCTATCGTATGTATCGGGTTGTTATTTGTAAAAGTTGCAAAATTAGTATGCATTTGATAGAAGTATCTGAATTTTAATACAGTGTATAAATTAATGGAAAATTGTTGACTAAAAACTGCATTTTTCATCCCCATAGAATTATTTTATTTAGCTACTATATTAAGACATTTTCATAAATTTGTAACAAAGGAACCTGAATTTTATCAAAGTGGTAAAGGATAGGTAAGAAGTAATGGCAAACTAATGATTAAAAATAGTATTTTATACATCTATATTCTTACGAGGATCAATGAACTATAAATTTAAATATCTATTAATGGGTTTACCAATAGTATTTGAGTAAATTTCATAGAAATTATAAAACCGGGGGCTAACAAAAATACGTGATAAAATCTCCACCTCTAATTTCATTGGATTTAGATACGACAGAACTTGCTATATTATGATATAACATATTTTTTGATATCTTATATATTTATTTCTTATATACAGTATTATTCAGTTGGTATTTTATTGCTATTAGAATAAAATAATAATTTTCCTTTAAACAAAAAAAAATTTTAGCCATTTTGTGAACAGCTGCCAATTTTAATTCTAATTACCTTGTGTTTATATGCTTATTATCGAACATGGTGTATTAGTAAAATTGGAATTCTGAAATGATAAGACTGATTAATACTGCATAATAAGGAAAAGATTTCATCTTCCAAGCTGTATACGATAGCAATTCGTTTCTAGCAATTCAGATGTCCGACCAAGGCAAATATTAGACACGTATACGCAGCTGCTTATTCTAACGAGCTCTTTGATTCCGCTTGTGTACTTTGCACGCCTTCGTGAACGAGTTTTCTCTGCATACCTCTGTTCCGACATTAAAGGGATGCCTGAATGTAATCTGAATACGATCAAGAAATCATGCTATCCGTGGGTGGATGCACTCGAATACGGGCTAATTCGAATGACAAACCGGAACGAGAACTAAAGTGATTCGTGAAGACACGATGAAATGAAGAGGCACAACCCTTTCTCTGCATGATACCCTTTGAGTATGACAGTGGTGAAAATGAAAGAGGAAATAAAATAAGGAATTGAAAGATAAAAAGAGAGGCTATTTTCATACTTCTGACGTTCATGATGAATATTATTTTTAATTTTAATATTTTTTTTTTTAGTGCAGTATAAAAGCAATAAATGTAATTACAGTGTTTTATGTTGTATTAGAAATATTGTAAATTAGAGCTAGGATTACTTGAATTGTTTTAACACACTTTGGTATTTAATATGTTGGTAGTTGAAGATTAATAAATATTGTAAAATTTTATTTGAAGGGTTTATAATTATAGGGTTATATTATTAGAGTTTATATACTAAAGGGTTTATAATTTGTATATCATGCAATTCATACTTGAAATTTTCTGTTTCAATAAAGTATTTTTTTATATTCAGACATGATAAAAATAATTGAGCTTCAAAGGGGAACACTGATATAGAACACAAAACTAAAAGTTAAATCATGTAAAGGGAATGACAAATACAGTTAAAAACAAAATGCTATGGAATTGTCTTTGATTTCATATTTGAAAATCGATTTAAGTAGAAAACCAAGATTTCACAATTTTTTAAATAAAATAACAATGAAAAATAATAATTATTTTAATACTGAGAATTAAATATTAAATTAAATAAAATAAAATTATTTTACAAAAAAATTAACTAAATTCTTGTTAAATCTTATTAAATTATTTATACATTTATTATATCAATAATTCGTTATTTATCTACTATTTGATGTCCTCCTTATAACCAAAAATGTAATAAGTACAAATATTTATTTAAAAAATGCAAAAATCAAATAATATAAAGAGTTAAATTTTAGATTATATTAATTATTATAACACAGATAATAAGATATGAAACCTGTAAATTATATTTCATAAATAATTCAGTATAGATATATAAATTCAGTAAATAGTAACTGAAACCTATTATAAATGTATTAATAAATTAGTTAAATTAATGAAACATTTTTTTTTATTATACTAGACAATTAAAATATCAAAACTTACATTTAATATCTTAGAATACTTAATTATTAAACCACTAATAATTAAATCATTAAAATATATAATATTTATTTACTATAACAAAAATGTAGTAATAATACTTTTATATAGAGATAAAATAGTAAAAAGATAGATATAAGAAAAGCGAATTATTTCATAAAAGAAAAACAGTACAGAAGATTAATAAATGCATTAAATAAAAGATAAAAATTATTTAGTCAGTTTTGATTTTCCAATTATTAGGTAATTAAGATGCAGCATATTTATGAATATCATCAGAGAAAACTAATAAAATTGTTCATTTTACTTTTACAATTATCAGTTAACAGACACTATGCAAATACATACAATATAATATTTCAGATAATATAAATTGACTACTTGTTTATTTATAATACACAAAAGAGAGGATAATCATGAAATAAGAAAACTCACAGGCTTGAGAATGCGAGAGGGACTGCTGCCGTAGACACGTTTAATTTGGAAAAAAATTCTTAGCTCGATAAGTTCTAAGTAAGCGCGGGAATCCGGCAAACTTGCCGCAAAAAGTTGAACATTTTTTGTTAAGTCGCATAGCGGCGGAGCAGCGAGCAAGTGGTCGTTTTTACACGCGTTCGGCCTCAAATTTATAGCGCTCCGAATTATCCCGCTGTTTCGAATAGGCCGCCTCTGGCATACTAATTCTAAGCAAACATGGACATTCGGTTTATTTAAAATTAAAACACGAAAACGCAACGTTCTGTTCCTACCGTTACCGTCAACGCCATAAAAAATATTTAGCAGAAAGAATTTAATATTAAAGAAAAGCAGCATTAACCTTTCGATTTATCGAAATTTATGAAACGTTCGTTTAATGGAGGAAACAAAAAGAAACTATTTTTCCACTAAATTCGAACTAGGACTATAAAGTAATTTCTAATGCGTAAGAGCGATTCGACTCGCGCGATAACTCCCTCTGGTGTTTCGACATGAGACAAAATAAAGGAGTGGGGATAGCAGCAGAAGAAACAGAAATCGAGAAAAAGATACACGGAACGGAAAGTGGAAAGAGAGAAAGAGAAAGGGAGTGGAAAAAGGAGGAGCAGCCATTTGCAGCCAGTGGACCAACTGCCGTCTTTGAGAGATAACCTCTCTCGCAATTTCAACTTTCGGAGAAACGCCGGGCAAAACCGCGAAACCGGCGCTTTTTTATCGTTAGTCTGCAATGGTCAACTCCGCGCTCGCGCGCTTTTATACTGTTACCTCCGTTGGCTGTTTCGTCTTGTAAGAAACTGACAAAAACCGTTCTCGCAATAGTTGCTCACCGATGGCGGAAGAAAAACCGCCTTTTTGCGCGGCGCGACGCTTTTTGCGCATTTCCTGAGTCATGCTTCTTCCTATCCCTAGTAGACAAAGCACATCCACTTTGTGTGTATTCACGTATCTTTATGCTCTATATACGTGTGTCTTTAGGATCTTAAAAGTGGAACTTTTCAGAAAGAAAATTGAGAAATTTGTTATCAGGTTAGTAGATGATAATTTATTGAAACGTTTGAGATATAACCAGGTTATTATGAAGATAATTCTGTATTATTTTCGATTGTTTTTATTCGATGACATAAAGTAGTAATTGTAGAATAGTGAAGCAGCGTTATTTTGAAATGCTTTACAATGAATTTGTTAGATAATGTAGATTTTTCTCTGTAGATGATAAAGTTCGTATTTGTGCATTAAGAATCAGGGAATAGAAATCAGTTAACTTCATACATGAGATACTAACACATTCTGCCTAGTCTTGTAGGTTGCAAAAACCCAAGTGACTAACCCTCATGACAAATTTATTAACTCGAGAATAATAAAATCTTTTCGAAAAGGAATAAACAATCTTATTGATACAAATGTATGGACGATTATATATATTATAAGTGCTTTTAATAAAGCGTTGAAGGAAAAATAAAATACACCGAATTATAGCAATCTATAAAACTGAACGTTGGTTGGTCATTTCTTTCACACTATCTGAATAGCACGCCATCTCTGAATAAACTAATGCACAACTTGCCGTCATAAATTAGTAAAAATGCGAGATGTCTATGATTCGAATATTTATAGTTGGAATAGTATTTAAAAATTTCAATAAACGAGATACAGTTAATAATAAAGTATGGTATCTAAAACGTTTAATATTTATATTCTAAAGTCATTGAATTTGACAACAATAATAATACATACGTATATGTTGATTTTTTAGTCTCGATTAAATATAATTCTTAAAATAATTAAGTGATTTTCTCAACAGATCGCATCATTTTAATATTTCTTGTTTACAAAGCTTCGGAATTCTTGTGATTTTATACAATTGATTATACTTTTATTTATAAGAATTCAATCAAATTTCCAAAACTTCAAATAGTAACTTATTATTTACAGAAAATGCGATTTGTATAGAATTTTACTTAATTTAAAAAATATTTAAGAAAATTCATTCTAACTTTATTTTCAAAAATTTTAGGTTATTACTTCAATTTGTGTATTTCATATGACAGAATTAATATATAACAAGTAAAACTAAAATAAATTATATCAATTATTTAGTTACTAATAAAAAAATCTGATCTAAAGATGTTACCAAAGAAACTTTAAAATTTTTCCTTCTCAGGACGAAAACACAATAACCTCATTAGAGAGAAACAAAAAATGGAGAAACATCAATTTCCGTGAATATTGGCATAAAAAACACATGAACAGATTCTTTTAAAAGCAAACTTTAAGAGACCATAAACAGAAACATTTATCATGGAAACTGGATATACATAAATAGAAACTTACGCGTGCCATTGACGTTTCTGCTGAGTATCTTCGGCACAGCAGCGGTAACCGCGGTGACAGCGGAAACGGTTGGGACAGTAGGGACAGTAGGGATAGTGGACAGCACAGCGGCAGGCTGCTGATGCTTGGTTGGAGGGCTTGCCACCACGACCACAGGATTCTGTGTGGAACAAGTGGCCGAAGTGAGAGCGCCGGCACCAGCGACGCCGGGAACCGCGTTGATCGGTGCCGTTGCCACTGGAGAGGGTGTCCCGATACCACAGCTTGTGGTTACCGCCGCTGTCGTCTCTTCCGGCGTGGGTCCGCTAAGCACGCGACTCTCCATCTTCGACAACTAACACCACTTTTCGGTTTTTTCCTTTCGGGGAGGATCGCACCGAGGCGTTACCTCCCACAATACGCACTCACTGCACTCGAGCAACTGCGTTCCAAAGCATCGAAAAGTGTATGCATTTATGTTCCACGCACGTTCTACTCAGTTTCTTACATCTCCGTTACGGACACGAGGGACACGCGATTGGTCAGTGAGAATAGTTCGACGAAGTTAAATAGTTATATTTTGACATTATCGGTTGATGATTATGATAGACGCATACGCGATGGGAAACACCGGTGAAAGTGTAAGGAAGATCAACGATTAAGTAAGAGAAGCATCTCTAATACATAAAAATACGAGTAAGGAAAGAACAGAGAAAATGTGAATTATGCTCCTATCAGCTCATGCCATCGACTTCAATGGCACTTGAAACGCGTGTAAATATAATGGTACAAATCAATCTGTCGATATTATTGTTATTATTGGAACTTTCTACTGAAGAGATATTAGTTCAATATTTATCTTCTTATTGGAGCACCGATTGTCTTTTTTAACATGCTTTTGTAAACGTGTTAAATATGTGTCTGTGTATATGATATTGTATTATTTTTAAACAAGAGGAACAAGTTAAACAAGAAAAATCACGCTAACACTGAAAAGTAGCAGAGAGACACTTAGAACGATGACGCGGTGCACATTGCCGGCCATCGAATGATTCTACTACGTGCTGTGCCATGTCCCCTCCACTCAACTATACAACGTGCAATATTACCCCCACCACTGTAACATTCACGTGCGGTTATCCCCACCCTCAAACTTACCCCCACCACTTAGAACAATGAGGAACGATGGACATTACCACGTTAACCACAGTACGTAAATTTCAAATTCTTAGGTTATCCAATTCCCACACTGAAATAAATAATAAATGCACTTGCTTTTTTGAGCATTCTATTTATATACCAATGAAATTTAATATTCTATATGTTAAACGAATAACAGGCTACCGAATGTGCAAAAATTTACGCAGTTGAAAGTTCTGGATTGCATTAAAATTAGAAACAATCGTAAATGTGGTTAATAACCCAGGAAATTGCTACCCTCACATTTGAAAAATATATTTTTCATTTCAATTTGTTTTACAGATACAGTGTTATACTAATATTATAGATTTTGATGTAAGTAAATATGACAAATTAATCTTATAATTTTTATTTTGCGTTCTAAAATAATGATAAAATATTATATTGTTAAGTCACATTAATTAACTCTACTAAGTTATTAAAAAACATTATGATAAAATAAGTTAATAATATCATAAATTCTAATTTTAATATATATTTAATCATTTTATATATTGTTTCAGAATTCACAATTATGCTTCAACACTAATGAAGTAAATTCTCACGAATTTTTGCTAAATTCCTGGAATGTGAAATGAACAATATTCACGACAGTTTAAAATGATACCCAACTATGGAAGACCATAACATCCTCCAGCTACCCCATCAGCCAGTTTTATCATTTTCTCTACATAGGTAACTACATGCTAGCTGTATATGTAGAACATATATGCCCCTCCTTAGCCATGATGTCGGTGTAAAAAGTGTCCCCTTACCATTCCTACCATCTTCACCATCCCGGTAAACGAGTGGTGGTAAGAGGGGCAGAAAGAAGACGTGCTGTAAAAAGCTATCTTTCCGCCCCTCGTCCTATGCACCCCCTAGAAGGAACGTACGACCTCTACCCCACCATTGATTCTCAAACAGTCAACATTTTTGCAATTTATCTCGAACTTTTGCAACTTATCCTTGATTATCCATAAAATTCGATTGAATTTATTCACGGATGAAACTAGGACGTAACACTGAGTAAATACTAATTTCATAAAGAGATAGAAAGAAATGAATATATAACAAAACAAATATAATTATTAATAATCATATTGTTAATATTTTATATACGAACGAAATACACATAGCATTGATATCATAGAAGATTAGTACACATGTAATATTATGAACTGCATATCTTATTATACTATATAAACTAAAATTTATTTCTAATCTTAAAGTTTTGTAGTTATAATATATAATACTTATAATTCTAATTAGATATAGTAAATAAAAATGAGCAATAGATAATAAAATATATCATATTTATAATTAATTTTTTGTTACTATTTGAATAAAATTTATTAGTTTTTGAGAATAAGTAAGATCCACAAATATACTGTAGAGGAATAATTCAAAATTCAAAAGATCAGTACAATTATAGTAAAAGAAATTTTTTTTCTCCCCAATCTAATTATCAGTTTTTCTCATCCAAACTCACTAATAGATAAGAAGCAACAATAAGGTACAAGGACTAAAAATTTCGAAATAAAATATGTATATTATTAATTTCTTATGTACAAGCAAAAATACAAACACACACATACAAAAACAAACGACAAGAAAGGGATAGAAAAATTTTCAAAGATCAATTACGTATACAATTTTTTTTCTTACCATTACTATTGCAGTAGATGATTCTTCATTTTTTGCCACCAACGGCATCATAGTTCTTTTCCTAGTCTAGTCTGCTACTCTTGCTTCTGCCAGCCTTATTTTTACACCCATCCACCCACTACTATTACCAGTGTCCCCCTCCCCTCCTTGCCCCTTCCACTGTACTATTCCCACTCCATTGGCCTACCTTTTCCGCACCAGTAGAAATAGAGGGAAAGATTTTTATTCTCGTAAATGGAAAAAGCAGGCTGGAGAGGGAGGTTTTGCCAGCCAACCGCTGCTGCGAGCGAAATTTTTTGCTTAATCTTCGTCGTCGACAAGCTCGTCGAAGGGTAAGTTAGGAAAGACGGGGTTGAGGTATTCGTTGAAGTTTATCTTACAGAAATATTTGAATGTTCATTTGGAATTTTATCTAATCAAAATTCCTTTATTTTAATTTAACAGATCATCACATTATTTATACAAATAGTCTGTAGATACAACAATGAAATAGAAAAATTGGTCAAAAAGAAGATATAAAAGTTAGTACATGGAAGTAAATCCATTTTACAATATAAGGACTCATGTATTAAAAATTAATAATAACAGAAATTATCATTTTTTTTTTTAAAGGAGAAAGTCCCTTATTTTGTGGTATACCATTCTTTTATCTAACAATTCTTTCACCTTTCATTCAATAAACTTTCTATTTTATTATTAATAAATTGCTTATAGGATAACATGATATTTTTAAGTCAATGTTAATAACTTGAATTTTTATTAAGCTTAATACATTTATATTATAAATTGTCAAGACTACTGTTATATTTTGCTATAACAGTACCAGTCATACATGAAGTAGAAATATAATTCCTTGGATACATGTCACATGCAAATTTCTGAACCCTCAGAAATCCTATGAATTCAGAAAGGTTCGAACAAACTATGATTAGTTTTTTTTCATCGGCACTTCTTACTCCCAAGGCAAAGGACAATAAAAAATTGTGAGCTACGCGTTCCCTCAATGATGAAACTCGTGAGACCTTTAACCGTGAAACTTCGTCAAAGTACATGATTCACTTAATCCATTATTCTTCAATATTAAATACCACATGAATAAAAAACATCAATTGTTTTCTTCGTTATTATAAAATATATCAAATAATTATATACTCTACAACTATGATCAAAATTGTATTTCATTTGCAATCAAATTTTATTTTATTTATCGGTTTTGCAAATCATTACATAATTTATAATATTCAATAATGTTTACAGTATAAATTTATAACTATTCCAAGAAATTATTTTAAAGATTAACATCTTTTTTTTATCAAAACGAATATATCGACTTTTGCACTATTTGTATTATAAAAAATCAAAGTTATCAAATATAATTAAAACCCAATTTTTTGATATCTATAATTCTACTATTTCCTATGTTTTGTAAAAGCAAGAAGCAATAAAATGTAGTATAATTAGTTTAATGACTGATAATTAAAAACAAGTTAAACATCGATAATATTCATTGAATATTTAGGTCACATTCTTAATACTATACACTATTGTTACAACATTCTCAAAAAAGAATGCTATCGCGTTAGTACTTACAGATTAATATACACTTACATAGCACATTGTTGGTTATTATTTATCAACCATTTATAAATGTACGTCAATATAAATGCATAAAGTCATGCTAATAAAAATGACATATTAAAAATAGCAAATGTTTAAAATAAATATTAAATTTCAAAATAAATTGGCGATTTATATTATCGTCAAAAAAGCTTTCTAGGAACTCGTGAACACTCAATTAAAATTAGCACTATAGAAGTCTTTTGGAGTAGTCAATCGTTTATACGTGTTTATGTAAAACATTCGTTGGATTAAATGGTAAAAAATCGAGTTATGCTATTATAATATGGTAAAACACACGATTTTTGTAGTAAGCATATATATAAATGGAAGTAACGTAAAATCATACACAACCATATTCATACCACACTTGATTGCCCGCTTTTGAATCTTTGTCTACAGGGGTTTCCATCATTGTTTCCTCTTGTCCTACATCCTTCATCTCGCTATTATTAAGATTCTTTGATTCGTTTATAACTGCCGATACTTTATTGAATATCAAGACCGGTCGCGGTTCTACTTGTACCTCTGATCGTGAAGTTTGTTCCAACAATATAGAACGTCTATCATCTCCTTGTTCCTGGAATAACCATTTCACATATACAAAAAAATATTCTATCGTAATAAAATATCGAAACAATGTAAGCATTATAATGGAAAAAATTAATAAATTCGTACTGGTAAATTAGTTGGTGGCGGTGGGGAATCGTCAGTATAATATACTGTTCTTCTAGTGCCTGGATGGCCAAGAGATAATGCATCCGACCCGAGACCTCTAGCCGACCCTTAAATTAATATTATCAGTTTCTTTTACTAAAATTCTTTTAGTGAAACAATGATTACTTATATTATACACACCCGTGTGTGTCAACTTTCAAACACTGCTATTAAACATCTCTTACACACTTAAAATACATGCTTACCTACTAGCCGATGATCATCCGTACTAGCATCAGAGTCATTTCCACCAGATTCTGATTCGTATGTTTTTCCTTCCGAGTGTTTAGAATCTTCCGCCCAAGATCGTCGATTCTAATTTATACAAAATTATTGAATTAAATACAAACATTAAACATAAAATTCTTAAAATTTATTTATATTTATATTAAATACACCAATTTATTTACCTTGTTGAGAAACTCAGACCCAACTTTCCGAACTCTTCGTACGAAATTTGCCCCAAATCCTTTTCTTCAAATACAAATGAAAGAAAAAGAAGATATTAGAAATTAGAATGTTTTCAATCTCAATATTTAAACTGTCTTATAACTAAAATTATAATAAGGAATTATATAAAAGTGTAAAATTATGTATAAAAGAGACATAACTTACTTTTTTGGAGTACAACTTTCTAATTTTCTATAATGCTCCATAATCTTATCTTCCAATTTCTCTTTTTGTCTATACAGATGATTCACTTTGTCCCTATAATAAAAATTATTATTATTAGTAATAAACATTAAAATTATTAATATATTAATTAATATATTACGTGTTATAAATAATCCATAAACTAATATGAGGAAAAACAAAACTAGTTGCTGTTTAATGTAGTCATGAAGTTTAATGATATTAAATTTTTACTTTTAAGGTACTAACGTATACATTTTTTCTTCCATGTGATAATGTTCTTTATCTTCAAGAGAATGAGTAAAAAGTTCATGATATTGACTAAACAATAAACTAATGTTATCCATTAGTGATCGTCTGTCATTATCCAAGCCTGAATTCATATGCAATAGAACCTAAAACGAAAATGAAACATACAATAATAATAAATATATGTTAAATATATCGTTACAAATATTTATTCGCACCTCACAACGTTGATTTAATTTATTAATTTGAAGTTCTAAATTAGAACACCTTTCATCTCTGCTACTCAGTTCGCCTTGCATTTCTGTTAATTTGAGACTTAATCGATTTGTTTCAATTTTATTTTTTCTGTAATCTTCTTGTAAATTTCTGTACTCCATTCTTAATTTTTCGGTAGCAGTATACAAATTTCTAAAATCATCCTAAAATAATTTAAATGGTATTAAATTCGTAATTCAACACACATGACAATACATATTTATTAACATTTATTTAATACCTTCAATTTCGAATGTTCTCCTCTCAAATTATTTAAACTCTTTGCATCATTGAGCAATGACTCTTTTTCTGTTTGTAATGTCTTATTTTTTCCTTTTAACCCTTCGTATGATTCGCGTAACATTCTAATTTCATTTTTTACATCTCGTAAATTTGACTTAAGGGCATCGTGTTCGTGAAATAGATTTTCATATTCGTTATTTAATTGTTCGTGCAAAGATTGCAAAGTGACTTGGTCATGAACAAGTTGTGTATGTGCTTGCTGTTGCGCACTGCGTTCTTTTAACAACTAAATTAAAAAATTGAATAAGTAATATTTGAAAATATACAAATATATTTACACAGTGGAGACATCAATACTTTGTATTAAAAAAGAAATAAAGTTAGTAATTTCAAGTTTAACCTCTTCTTTTTCAGCAACAAGTTGCGAATTCGCAAGTTGCAAAGCTGTATGCTGGGCTGTCAATGAATTATTTTGAGACTGTAATGTTGTTATTTGTACTTGAAGCTTTGCATTTTCAGACAGAAGGCTTTCTGAAGCTGTTTGTGCAGTAATTAATTTCATATTTAAATGTTCCTGTTCTTTCTAAAAATAAAAATTAAAAAATTATAAATTTGTTACATTATATTTCATAAAATTATTGAAAGTATGTATTTTTACCAATTTTTTTAGTTCTCTTACAAATACTTTATATGCATAATTTCAACATACCTTGAGGGATTCTACCGTTGCTTCTAAAGTACTATGAATATTACTAGTTTCATCATTCTCGGAATTTATAGATTCAGGTACTAATTTTTCACAACAGGAATTGTTTGATTTCCTTATATAATCAATGACTTCCGGAATTTGTGCGATTCTGTAATTAGTGAACATTATTAATTAATTAATAATTACTATTCAATGTTTATATTACGTTTAATTTGAAATTTGAAATTTCATTACTTCTTAACAATATTATCCAGTGGAAGCGATAACAACATATTATCGCTAAGGCCAAGTTTCTCTAAAATCGTATATAATTGCTGCGTATTCAATTTTTCAGCTACTAAATTCGATTGCAAAATTTCTAACGTTTCTCTATCAATAGCTGCTCGTGAATCCAATTCCTTACTAGATCTTTCAATTTCTTGTAATCTGCCAAAATAAATAATTCTATAAAAAAAGGTTCTTATAATAAATAAGCATATATATCATGTGTGAAATATCTTATACCTTGAAATTTGTGTAACAGAATCATGAAGTTCCTGTTCAAGTTGCGTTACTTTCCTTTCTAAAACCTCAATGCTATTTGTTGCTTTATCCAATGCAACATCTTTATCCTGAAATTTATTTCACTAGGTAAAACTTAACACAGTAATTTATTATTTGGTGGTTGAAATTATAGAATAACTTTGAATAGAAATTATAATACAATAATTTAAAGTACAAATTAGAATATAATAGAATATTATGATTTAGATCAAAGCTATTCAACTTAGTTCTTGTGCGCAAGGACACTCATCATTATTACAAACAAAAACATTGATAATTCTTAAGAAAGAGCTAGAAACAGTAATAGCATTGGTTCGTAACTAACGCAAAAGTTATTCTTGATTCTTTTATATTAATTTACATTCATAGAATAGCCTAGCATTTGAAAATCATAGAACAATTAATCTGATAAAAATATCTTAAAAAATTCATACTTCTATTGTTTCTCGATATCGATGAATGTCACGTTGTGCAATATCTTTCTCTTTTTCTACAGCTATAAGTTTTGATTCGAGATCAAGACACTTAGAATTAATTTCTTTTATATTATTCTCGATAATTTTTAATTCCTCAACTTTCTGATTTGCAAGTTCTAAACTACGTTCTAAATCATCTGCACGTCTTTGTACACTTTCCAATAAAGACTGAACTCGTTGTTTTTCTTTCACCGCTGTGTCGTAATTTTTTTCCAGTTCTATCATTTTTGAATGTTGCATCTAAAAATTAATAAACGAAAAGAAATATTAAACATAAAATTATTAAAAAGTCATACAGAGAATTTCCGTAATATACTTGAAATTCTTGTTGTTGTTTCTCGGATGATGTTCTTTGATTCTTTAGTGAGTTCTGTAACTTCTTGTTTTCTTCTAGTGCTTGTTTCCATACTAACTCCAAGTCTGAATTTTGTTGTGTTAGCCTTTCAATATTATCATTTAATGACTCGATTTTTAAGGACAGCTTCTTCTTTTCTTTTTCTAATTCCAACACACGAGATGAATTTTCATGAAATGAACTTTCTTTTAACGAGTCTATCAAGGCAACTAATCGACGATTTTCTAACTCTAGTTTTAAAGCACGTGTTTGTGCATTATTTGTCAATTGTTCAGACAATCTATTATCAGCATGTGCTATATAAATTACAAATATATATTATATTTATATACAGTGGATAAGTAAAAGTTATTATGTACTAATAACAATTTGCCTTATTACCTGGTTCTTCTGAATCACTTACAGAACCAGCTAAAGCAGCTTCATTTGCAGCAGCTTTTGTTAATTTGTGCAACTGAGTGTTTTCTTCAACTAGTTCTTGATATTTCTCTTTGTCAGCCGCACGTTCCTTAAAAATGTTATACATGTGGAAATTAAATTTATTACTTAAATTAATAAATTCAAATCTTCACTTATATACACACCAATGCCATATCATTTAATAATTGTTTGTATTTAATAATTTCAGACTCAAGTTCCAATACTTTATCTGCTCTTCTTCTTGATGAATTTAATTGCTCTTCAAGCATTTCCCTAGTCTCCATCAAAACTCTGAAATAATCGATATTTAAATGATATGGTATATTTATAATTGTGGTTATTATAAAATATTCAAATATTATTTTTCATACAAAAGATATTATCAAATTACATTTAAATAGAAATATATATTATATTATATCATAATTGATACAACTATAAAGTAACAACTGTAAAGTAAGCACTTCCTTGACTATAGCTCTAGATACAAAATATCCTGTATGTATGAAATACCTGTTATCCTCACGTAACTCCTCTATCCGAGTTTTATAAAATTCTATATCTGTAAGTTTTTCTCTATATCTTACTACTTCTAATTCCAACCGATCAGCGCGATCGGCTCTTTCAATTACCGCATCTAATTCATCTCTATAAGATTTTGCTGTGCGTGCTTCATGCATCAATTCTTGATTCTAAAACAATAATAATAAAATTTTAATACTTATTAAAAGTAAATAATAAAGGATGTCTCATTTTAATCTTCAGCTTGTAGCACTATGATACCTTTGTATCTGGTGAGGTACAATAATATATAATAAAAAATGTTTTAAATTAAAAATTTTAAATTAACTTTTGTAAGTTTTCCATGATCATTGCAGAGTTAATTATATGATACAGCTTTTATCTAAACCATTTTAAATATTTTTCGTATTTTTCGAAATATTCACTTTAAGAGATTAAAATGAGACACTGTATATGTAAGACATACAATACCTTACCTCTTGTTTTAATTTGGTTACTAACATTTTATGATACTCAAGTTCTTCTTTACATTCTAACAAAGCTTCTGTTTTTTCTTCTCTATGAATAACACACAACAAAAGAAAAATACAATTATAAAAAAAACTAATAATGTAACATAATCCAAAGGTTATAATAGAGCTGAAAAATGATAATACACACAATTCCTGGCGTTGTTTCCTAACTCTTGATTTCCAATCAGCTAATTCTACTGCATAATGATGACTATCTTCACGTTCGGATTTAATAACAAGATTAGACTGTTGTGCTTTATTTATTTCTTCAGCTTCTACACTAATTGATGAATCGTTCCTTTCAACACTTTCATTTATAATAGTATTTCTCCATTTCTGTTACATCAATGATATCTCATGCTGGATTAATATAATATTTGGTTAAATGATACTATTAATAAAATAAAATATACCTGACGATATAAATCTAATTCTTGTGTCAACTTTTTTATTTGTGCAAATAAACATCCCATATTTACATTCTCCATTGCATCTTGTGTAATAACTATGTCTTGATGATCTGTGACCTAATAAATAATCATTAAACTTTTTGTATTTATATGTTATAAATAGTAATATAAAAAGATAGAAACTAAAAATTTAGAGAATATACCTGCTTAATACATTCCACTATTGCAAGCTGAGTATTAACATTTAATGTTTTTATGTTTGTGATAAATTTTTCTTTATTAGGACATTGCACAGCACAACCAAGAAGCATTAATAATAATAATTTCATTTCAGCAATATACACTTGTGGCTCCTTGCCTAAGTTTAAAGTATCTGGTAATCTTAAGACTAAATGACCTAATTCTTCTTCATAAAATTGTTTCATATTATCTACTATAAATTTCAAATTTTTTGTCCGAATTAATGAACTTCCTTCTGGAGGTATTAATTCATTATATAGTGGTTCTGGATCTCTAAAAATATTAAACATATATATCTTTAAAAAAAGAACTAATAAAAATTTAAATATATTAAAATACTTACATTTGTAAAAATACATTATGTAATAATATGCCATCTACCAAATCATCATAACTAGTTAACAAATTAGGATCCTCCAAGCAACTGGCGAACTATTACATAAAGCATATATACTGATATTTTGGATGCATTACATTATTATATTATATTAATTTTAATTCAGTAAGTTAACAATGATTAATAAAAAAAAGTTATTCTTTTCTGTGCAATTTTATTTTTTTCTCATCAAGAATTTAAGTTTAATATTATAAATTTAAAAACACAGCTCATATAATCCTAAAAAGTAAGAAACTTACCCATGTTACCAAAGGTCCAGATAATAGATCATCAATCTCAGAAGATGCCATTTTTACACTC